ATATATATATATATATATATATATATATATATATACGGAATTTGAATTAAAAGATAATTTTGATTTATAGATAAAGTTCTAAAATTCGAATTTAAATGAAAAATAAAATTTATCTTTTTTTTATCATGTTATCATATGCAATAATGTTAGGAACTTTTGTTATTTTTTCTAATTATTTAAATACTACTTCGCCTCTAGCAAAAAAAAACTACTCCATATAACTATAAAACTCTTTCACATTTAAAATCCTATAAGTATAGTTCTTTGAAATACTGTAGCTAGATTTGAATAAAACGAAATTCTTTTAAAATAAATATAATATATAGGATACATATCTATGTTTATCTAAATAACAAAAAAGAGTTTACAAAACTAAATAAAAGTTTACTTATATATATATAATAAAGTAAACATACATGCTGGAGAAAAAATATTACAAAATAAGTCAATATTAAAAAAAAGTTGTTTTTTTTTCTTCTTGAAGAATATTTGTTTGAAGAGTCAATTTGCATAAATAGACATCAAAAAAATAACAAAACTTTGGCTATAAAATTGCTATCATTAATTTTAATTTAGTACATTCAAGGAATTGAAAGGTATAAGCCGAAACCCCTTCATTTAGCTGTAGTCAGGCCAATATTGCAAGGGTATAATATTTTTTTCGTTGAAGAATATTAGTTTTGAATCATTAGATTATGTGAAAGGCTTTTTTTTTCAAACTCAACAAGAGAGAAATTGATTTCTAATTGATAGTTTCTATAGCGACTTTTAAGTGTAACAAAGAGTATATATAAAGAAAAAATTGGTATGACGTGAAATATGTTTTTAGTAAACAAATTATTTCGAAAAAACTCTTTACTTTTTTTAATTCAAAGATAATAAAAAGATAAGATATTTTTGAACATTAGTATATAGTTTTAAAATTATTATAATAGAAGTTATATCAGGGATAAACTCAAAAAATCGAAATCTTATGGAATATTTACATAATATCCGGCCATATTTATTGTTTACTTTTTATAGCTAATATAAATCGATGATATATTGATAACACACGATTATACACATATTATATATGGATTATATATAAATTACACATCATTCAATTTTTTAATTTAAGTGGTCCGGTGAGCACCTATTTAGGCTGATTAGATAAAGCCAAAAGAAAAATATGAAATAATTTCAACCAAAAACTAAAAATATAATTAAAATTCATATGTAGACAATTTTTATTTAAACTCATACTTTTATAGTGAAATAAATTAATTGTAACAAAAGAAATAATGACATAAAAAATAAGATAAAAGAAAATAAATATTGAAAAAAAATGTTAGAAAGATCTAAAAACGAGAAATAAAAGATGACATCAAATTTCTTCTTATGTTTCATCTTTGTTGAGTATAAAAAATTCGAAAGTTAATCTCATCGATTCAATTTTTTTTCAACTCAAATACATAGATTATAAGATAAGGATATCTTAGAATATTTTTTAAAATTTACATTATGTGCCGTTTTTAAAAAATCAATATTACTAACAAACTGATATGATATTCGAATTTGAATTGGAATGCAATTTGAGTAGTTTGCATTGAGGTTAAGCCAAGAATGGTGTCGAAAAATAAACTACTTGACAATTTTAAGACAATATATACAATGTTTTATAATAATAATCAATTAATTTAACATTTAATGATTCAAAGAACAAATTTTTTGAATATATAAGGTATTAAAAATTCAAATTCTGGGGCTAGAGATATCAATAAACTTAAAGTGGAGTCATACTGAAATAAATTCGACCAAAAATCATTTAAATTTTTAGATAGCCGATTAAAGTGAATTTTAAATTAACGATAGTATCTTCACTTGCATCATTATAAAGATAATCATTACTATAATATATATAAAGTTTTAGAAATTGAAATTTAAATGTTAAGGTTATTTAAATATAATTCAAATAACTCAAATATTTAACATGGTTAATGTCAAATATCAAAATAGAGTAAAATAAATTCACTAGCTAAGGAATTTTTTATATTTTTAGATATCCAACTAAAATGAGTTTTGAATTAAGAATAATATTTTCAATTACATTATTATAAAAATAATTATTATTGAAAAATAATATTTTAGAAACTAAAATTTTAAGAAAGAAATATTTTTAAGTGATATCAACACACCAAATAAGAGTTCAAGTAGTAGTAAAAGAGTTAAATCTTATCCAAAGAGTCATTCATTGTTTCAATATTTGATTGTTTTGCCATAAATATGAGTTATTATTTTGCTTCCAGACTATTTTTAGGATCCAATGATACCGGCAAGAATGATATCAAAAAAGAAAAATAGAAGAAATGGTTAATTTTTTTCATGTAGTTAATATACAATGATTATCTATATTTACTGAGAAAGTATAAATTTTAAGATTATTTACATACAATCCAAATAACTTAAATATTTGACATAATAAGTGTCCGCGCATCCGTGCGGATACTAATACTAGTTGTATTTACCGTATTGTAATACTAATATATCACGTTAAGACTACAATCATTCATTTTTACGAACCTTAAACCCCAAAAAATATTTTTACTTTTTCTTGTATTTTTAATTTTTTGTTTTTCTGCGCCACCCCCCACCCCCCAAAACCCCTAAAAAAAATTCACTTCTTTCTGTATTTTCAATTTTCTGTTTTTTTATTTTTCTACNGGTAATGGTGCCAAAATAGCTCTCACAAAAGGCAAAAGACAAAACAAGGCTGAAACGAGCATAAGAAGATATTATCTTCCTACAATCTAAGAGCACAGTTGTATCAAATAGTGTACTCCATGAAAAGTTAATAATCAGAATACTTATTAAAAGGAAGAGGATATAAGGGAGGTTATTTATCAATTCATACAACATCATTATAACATCTTATAGTGTTATCAGAGCTCCAAACAATCAAAAGAAAAACATCATATCAGCAACCTGTGCATAGTAATAATGCAAGTTGGTCGCCTGGAATTAGAACTAAGGATCCTACAGGATAGCTTTTCAACTACTTTCAACAATTTGAGATAGGAGAATGACGTAAAACACAGTTAAGACACACAGGAGAGTCGTGTCGCCACAAGCATACAAAAGTTTTAGAGGATGAAAATCATATACTGTCGTTACAAGCCAAGGTAAGAATCCCTCTTAGCAAGCTAAGCATATGACCACTTCCCTTATCCTGAACGGCAGTAGCCCTGCTGTAACATTTACCATGGGTAATACTAAGTAACTTAACAACATGTCTTTCCCGACAAGAACATCTTCACGAGAAGAAAAACAACAACCCCCTACCTTGAAGGTAGAGAGGCTGTTTACATAGAACATCTTCACGAGAAGAAAAACAACAACCCCCTACCTTGAAGGTAGAGAGGCTGTTTACATAGAACATCTTCACGAGAAGAACAACAAACCCCTACCTTGAAGGTAGAGAGGCTGTTTACGTAGAACATCTTCACGAGAATTTAAAGTAATTTTTTTACAGTGAAGAAGTTAGAGTAATTTTGTGAATGAAGAGATGACCAACTGAAAATTGAACCTCAAATAAAATTTAACCCAAACAGTCAACAACGGGAATGAGGTCCATTCATGGCTTTATTTAGAAGAAGAAAAACCCTCAGCTCTTGGTCGCTCAAAAACATTAAAACATGATTCTTAGCCTTGAAATTCAACTTTTGGAAGGGGATTTCATCTGTCTCCAGCAGACCATACTGTGATCATGGAGCTTTTACTCAGCTGTTGCGCTACTAAACTAGTGCAAGTTGTCGCCCAACTATTCCAAGTAGCAAAAGTATTTTTCCCTCCATTCAAATATCAAATAGCATAACTATGACCAATAATAGAATGTCTACGAAGTTCTTCAAACCTACAAACCGTTTCTAATTTATAATCTTTAAATAACAAGTACATTACAATCTTAAGCCTTTATGTTCTGCCAAACATGCTACCAAAATTTTAAATATACAAGACAGAATCCAAGTCAAAACTGTATTATTAAGTACCTTAGTGATAGCTCCTCTACCGGCTATTCCTTCAACACCTTAGCACCAAAGAAATAAGAGGTATCATATACTACGTTAATTGGCCTTCAAAAGATACTGAATAACAGACAACCATCTTGAAATGAAAAGTTTCCATATTCATTACCAGTGTTGTGACTCCTCCAGGGGTTCCAGTACTTTACCAGCCACCCAAATGCTTATGGACCTTTGAACTCTGTGAGGATTTCCCACCTTTGTCCTTGTATGTATTCCTGGAGGCAAAGTTCCTCTTCCCCCGATGGGCAGCTTGAATGGCCTTCCTCCTCTGCTTGCTCAGGCTCTTCACAAGTTCGGCATCATCTTCAGACTCGGCCTCTCCATCATCCTCAGGATCATGCTCATCCCCAACTTGATGATTATCATCATGCTCATCCCCAACTAGATGATTGTTGTCCTCCTGCAAGAATAAATATCATTAGTAAGTGCCAAGAGACATGGAAATTCTCGCACTTTTTTCCATCTGCGTGAGAAATATAAGCCGACACACCTGCCACAGAGATATGGTGGAATATGCATCCTTAGTTTATTCAATAAGATAGGCAAAGGCCCAATAATGTATGATATTACTCAGAAATTAGGAAAAAATGATTATTGTAGCAAGCACATCCTATTCTGTTGGGTGGTGATAAAATATATATTAAAAAAGAAAAAAGGGGCAGCTCGGTGCACTAAGCTCCCGCTATGTACAAGGTCCAGGGAAGGGCCGGACCATAAGGGTCTATTGTACGCAACCTTTCCCTGCATTTCTACAAAAGGTTTCCACGGCTCGAACCCGTGACCTCCTGGTCACATGGAGGCAGCTTTACCAGTTACGCCAAGGCTCCCCTTCGTGGTGATAAAATATCCTACATTAATATGCTGCAGAAATCTGGTGAGTCAACAATACTATGGTAACTGATAAGAGGCAACTTAACACTAATGTTTCAGGGATATCTGATTTACATAAACAGATAATAAGGGTAATGTCCCGTACCATGCCAAAAGTGATTAATTGCCAGCCTACCAGTGAACTCTCATCATAAATAGTAGTATGACTAATCAAAGCAATTTTTCAGCAAAAGTTTTCAGAGTAAATTGTAAAACTTTTACCGCAGACAATCGCAACGGTTTAGGAAGGTTTTCTAGAAAGACTTGTACTAATTAGATTATGTCTCATACTACAAGCAATTTTTTTAAAAAAAAACTCACATTATTATGTAAAAAATGTCAAGATGGTTTGACTCTCCTGCTCTTTTTTATGAAGTAAGTAGTTTCATTAATTGGCATCAAGAAGATATAAGTTTTACAAAAGATAAGGACTGCAAAAAGGGAGAAACTGCACCGATACATATGCCTAAACTGCTAGGGAGCTGATAAAGTCCAGAAAATCTATAGGGCAAGTTACAACAGAGAGATTTTGCCAACTAAATAAAAGTAAAAGGCATCTAGCCTTAAGGGAGTGTTAGGAGTTGATATTCCATCAAAACACCTGGCAATTCCGTCCAGTCCAGACAACGCAGAAAGCATCAAAGCTTTACTCTCCTGCTTTTGCTTTACATGAAAGCTTTTTAGTAAGTTAATAAAATTTCATTAACAACATATCAAGAAAGTGTCCAAAGTATTTACAAAGATGACTCAACTGCACTAATCTATTTTTATTTTGCTTTACAAAAGAGCTAGTTGAGGATCATCTTTATGTTCCATATTTCCAGTGAAACTAAAAAAAAAAAAAATGCTCCAACTTTGGTTTTATCGCACATTACCATGTTGCGGTAACAAAAAATAGTGTAGAGAACTAGGTCCCATATCCTCTTATCAACCAAAAGCACCAGAAACATTTCAACTAATGACTTTAATATGAGATCACTACAGGTCTATGTCTCTTCGCTCTTTCCTTCTTAGTGGAGAAAGGGGAACTACCTTCTCCAACTGCAAGGATTCAAGCTGCTTGATGTTTGTCTCGTTCATGTCTTCATCTTCATCATCACCAGTTCCTTCATCATCAGAATCTGAATACATGTCAAGCTCTGCCTCAGTTAACTGCAAACAAAGTAAATAATAACTAGAAAGTCAAGTACCACAGGCGATTCACATTCAAATGGCAGAATATCCTGCAGCTGCAATAAGAATTATCACCATTACCACAATCTTATCAAGCCAAAAAACAACACTTTGTACATATGCATTATCACCGAAAAGGGAAGAAAGGGCAATTCACTTAGCCATGTAGAGAATATGAGGTACGAAAACTGGCTGAATATTGTCTCTAACAGACACTAAATGAGTCTTCTTTTCATGATACAAAGACACTGTTTAAGTGAACACACACGCTGCAAAACATTCAACTAGAGAGGTGGTGAAATCATCCTTAGCATATACCTGGTGAATACAATCCAAACAAATTGATATTTAACAGAAATATCGTATAGCGTAGCATTTTTTAAACAATATACAAATAGATACAGTTACAGGTCAATGGATTTATCTAATCAGACATGACACGAAAGAAAAGATGTAACTTCTCTAGGGGGGACATTGTAATGACCGAGGACATTCATGCTGTCCATGTTCAAAGGAAAAGTGTGCACGGCATTTATCATTAATGTATTTTCATGGTTCACTACAACAGCTTCCTCTCCATATTTCTGCAATAACAAAGACCTTCTCTATTGTTTACAGGGATGCAAACAACTCAGTTCCGATTTATTATAATCACAGCATCAACCTCCTCTGTTAAACTCCATGAGGTAGCTTGAAGAAATTTTACACATTTCCATATATAGACTAAATGCCCTCAAGTTGATGACTAATACGTTTTTTAACTTCTTCAACTTTGAGTATTTTATTTTAATATGCTAGTCTTATAATTAGGGGTGGGCATAAAATCCGAAAAATCGAATTCCGAACCCGACCGAATTAATTCGGTATTTCGGTATCGGTTTATTCGGTATTTCAGTATAATTCGGTATCAATTTTTCGGTTATTCGGTATTTCAGTACGGTCCTCGGTATTGAGGTTTCGATATTTTGGTATACCGAAATACCGAACAGTTAGAATGGATTGTTAAACATTAGTCTTAATTTTTTTAATAAAAGACAGTAGCTTCTCATTATGGAATGAGATGTTCGTCCATGATTTCTAGAATATCCTGGCAAATTTTGTACAGCTCCTCTTTTACCTTCCGCCTATATCCCTTAATCAACTTCACATTGTTCTCGTTTCCATTTGACTCTTCTTTCTGCTCAATGGATGATATAATACGCCAAAAAACTGTTTAAGCTCCAATAACATTCTTGTAACCAACAGAAAGCATTGAGTTTTGCAACTTTCTTCATACCATTTTTGAGAAGCAATATGATTCTGAAGTTACCAAACAGAAGAATGGTGCAAAGATTTTTATATCTCATTCCCAGTACATAGTTTTGTCTTGCTTAGTTTTATCATAGAAAATGATGCCTGCATGTGAATCAGAATAACCTCCCATGGACATGTGCTAATCTAAATTTGTATGTTATGTATGTATTTGAGGTGTTTATTTACCGAATCTGGTATGCAAATTACCACTCCTTCACCGAATCACCAGTGGCACTGGCCATTGCTTGTCATGTTAGACAGGACGGTTATAATGGTATATTTATAAGTAAAATTATGTACATTTTATCATTGATTTCAAGGAAAAGAGGTCATATCTTATATCTTATAAACTATACTCTTTGCATGATTATGAGACTGAGTGCCCGATTGGATGGGCTTGTTTTAAGTTACTTTTAAGCCAAAATAGCTTTTAAGCCATAAGTTAGGAATTCTAACTTTTTGTTTTTGGCTTGTTTTTGTCATTTTAGCTTAAAAACAAGTGCTTAAAAGCACTTTTTTACTTTATCCAAACACTACAAAATGACTTAAAAGCTATTTTGGCTTAAAAGCACTTAAAACAAGCAAATCCAAACGGGCTCTGATTCCTTCTTAGCACTTCTCAAGCAGTCCTCCAAAGTAACTCCATTATTCATTCTATTAGGCAAACTATAAAGGATTCCCTAAGGACTTCAAAGAAAAACATGACCATGATAATTAAATCATTTTTATGAAGTCATTGTAATTAGAAAATTTGCTGATGATCAATGTTTCCACCTCATTCTCAGATCCTTATCCTAAATTTCACCACTTACTACAGTATAAAACTTCTAAGATTGTCATAACTAAGACTATAATTTGCATTCATCACTTTGCATAAGTGATTAAAAAAGCGCTCGCTTCCTCGCTTTAAGCGAGGCGTGAAGGGCAGCGCTTCAGGTAATAGAAGCAACTCTGGTACGAAAAAGCAACCGCTTCTCTGTAAAAGCGAGAAGCGGTGAAGCGAGAAGAAGCGTTAGAAGTGTCCACTTCTATGTTTAAAATTAACTCAAGCCCTATTTTATTAAAAATCGAGGTTTCTAAACCGTAAACACTGTCTGGACTTCTTCAACAGCATCGAGACTAGGGTTTTTCTTCAACAACAACAGCGATTTCTTCTTCTCTTCTTCATCAACTTCTGATTTTTGAAATAATCAGATTATTTCAACTAGGGTTGTTCGTCTTCTTCTTCAACAGAAGAGCTATGTTCTGCTTCTGCACTTTTGATTTTCAGTCTTTTTCTTTTTCTTTTTCTTTTTCTTTCTAAATGTCCAAAAAGCGGCGAAATGCTGGCGAATTTTTTTCAGAAAATTTCTGCCCAATTTTTCCAGTTTCTGCCCAAAATTTCTGCCCAATTTCTGCCCAATTGAAGTGTTGAACATTTGCTTAAAATTACATGTATTGTCTATGCAGTATTTATTTTTAAAAAAAAAAATTAAATTCCGCTTCACTTAAAAAAGCGAGCGCTTCGCTTCTCGCTTCTCGTGAAATGGGGGTTGTCGCTTTTCCTTGCTTCACGCTCTTCACTTTTGCATCGTGTGGAATCAAGTACTAAAGACTCATAATCCAACTCAGGCAAATATCATCAACAGATAGCATCAATCACATTTGTCACACAGTTACAATATTCAAAGTTAACTTTCCAGATCAATACGATATTGATCAGACAGCTTCATATAAGTCCCAGGATAAGTCATTCAATCTAAACATAGTTTTCTTTATTTGTTTCCCTTCTTAGTGGAAGAAAGCTATATCCGAGAAGCTTCTTTTTTTTCCTAATAAGGTTAACAATTTTTAATGCAATTCAGCCAAAAACAGTAGTTTGATTGTACCTTTTCCAACTCATTTTGATCCTTTCTTGTAAAACCACTGGCAGCAAGTTCTTTGTCCAAGAAACCGCTATTTTTGTTTATTTCAGAGAACTGGGGCCGTCCAACTTCATCTATTTCAGCCTCTGAACCATCAGAATCATTTTCATTTTCTTCAAATAACATATTGAACCTAAAGATAGGTATAGAGAAATAAAGTATGAGCTCGCATTTCAAAGGAAAATTTAGCATCCCAAAAAACATAAGTAACAGCCCAAAATATCTGGATAAAAAAGTGAATTCAAAAGATGAGTCACAGAAATACATCATAAAGTGGAACAATAGTTTCTTGGTCAAACAAATGAACAAGTACAATTAAACACAGTAGAGTAGTCACTAACCGCTTTTCAAAGAACTTGTAGATGCACTCCACATCACGGTCAAAATACCTGGAATATAGAAAATTGTATCAGTAGCAAACAATTCTGCTAAGAACGCAATCCTCAGCACACAATGATCCAAATAAAGGGGGGAAAAACAAGACATAATAGAACTTCGAATCAGTATTATCAAAGGCGAAAAGAGCAAAAAAGCTCTAAGGTCTGTTGGGGCTTTAAGTGCAAAGCGCAAATAAAGGGTGGGCTTTAAGGAAGAAACGCGCAAATAGAGTAAAACCACAAATATGTATGTCCAAGACTAATATCTATAAGCATGAATACCAAATATATAGACAAAAAAATTGAAGAGAATTTACGATAAAGTGAAATATCAATTGTTTAATGTCGCCTCTTCAGGATTACACTTATTGGCAAAGAAAAGCATGCCTTAGCGCCTTGATGACAACATTGAAGCGCCCGTTAAGCGAGGCGAAGCGCTCTACGTGTTTTGAGCCTCGCTTTAGGGCTTAAGCGCGCCTTTGATAACACTGCTTCAAATGGTATTTAGATGGAATAAAATGGTACAGTATCCTACATTTGGGCATTAGGATGAGAGACTGACACCATTTGCGGGAAATCAATCATGGTGACCTTTTCATCATCATCAATCTGCAATCCAATTAATTAATACAACAAAAATCAGAAAACTGATAAACAGGTCTAGTATAAGCCTATATAATAAAATTCAGTGCAATTGAAAAGGGCAAAGAACTGAAAAATGAAATCAACATATCCTAGTTGCACACTCAGCAAACCAAGCTCACAGGAAACGAAATACAGCAGTTAAATATAATGATAGCTTCAAATAAATCAAAGAAAGATCATAAGATACCATTATGTTAAATTCATTAAAATCGCAGTGAATAAGCCCGTGTTCTGCCAGACGAACAACAGCACCAATGATTGTTTCAAAAACCACATCTGGGTTTTGCAGCTCCTTAACCTGCACACTATTTTGACCATCATAATAAGTTTTCCCGACAGCATTTCTAGGAAGAAACCAATAATACGACAATAATGCACACATAGTTGAAGATCAAAAATCTATTTTTCCATGGTTTAGGACCTACATAACAGTTGTTATTACAGCTTAACATTATTCTCATAATGCTATTAAATAGAGTATTCCGTGTATCTTACAAGGAGCTGTTGCTATAAGCACAAAATAGACTAGCAAGATTATAGAGTTTGTGCAGGAGCGAGAATCCCCAAATAGTGTTGGGAAGAAAAGTTAGGACTACCAACTTACTTAAGCTTCCAAAGGCCAGTTTAGCCACATAATTGAACATGCAAAGGTCCATGACTCTAACATACCATTTTTAAAGGCGATTATACTTGAAGAAACGAAAAATAGAACATGATAATTCCAATGAAGCAAGCTATGTAGAATTCTATGCTACTATATGAAACGCAATTACTGAGACATAACGGTTATGCAGAACCTCCAATACCAGAAACAGAATATATTTTTTCAAGTTATGATGGTGATTAGAAATAAGTAATTATCATTTCATCGCATCCTTATGACTAATATTGTGAAACTTGGCATTGACAAAGTGCCTCTGTCACCCAAAGGTAAGTTTTATAGAGCGGTGGTTAGACCGGCCATGTTGTATGGGGCTGAGTGTTGGCCAGTTAAGCAATCACACATCCAGAAGATGAAGGTAGCAGAAATGAGGATGTTGAGGTGGATGTGTGGGCATACTAGGATGGATAAGATTAGAAATGAAGTTATTCAGGAGAAGGTTGGCGTAGCTCCTATGGATGACAAGATGCGGGAAGCGAGGTTCAAATGGTTCGGGCACCTACAGAGGAGAAGTTCAGATGCCCCGGCCAGGAGGTGTGAGCGGTTAGTTTTGGAGGGTACGAGGTTAGGTAGAGGGCGGCCTAAGAAGTATTGGGGAGAGGTGATCAAACAGGACATGGCGTGACTTCAGATTTCTGAGGACATGGCCCTTAATAGGAAGGTGTGGAGGTTGAACATTACGGTTGTAGGTTATGAGGTAGTTGAGCACTGTTCTTCTTTGTACAGGTGTGAGGCTAGTCCGATAGGGCTTTGTCTTAGACTGCTAGTGGTCATGATGTGTTCACACTATTCTACTGTTTTTCTTTGTGCCTGACCCTATCTACTGATTATTGTTAGTGCTTTGCATCTACTGTCTGGGTATTATGTTGTTGTCATTACTTCTATTATTTTCTGATATGTTGTCTCACTTTTCGTCTTCTTGAGTCGAGGGTCTTCCGGAAACAGTCTCTCTACCCCTCGGGGTAGGGGTAAGGTCTGCGTACACTCTACCCTCCCCAAACCTCACTTGTGTTATTTTACTAGGTTGATGTTGTTGTTGCCATTGATAAAGCATTGCATATGTACTGCTAGGTAAATAACACCTAGTTCACAGAAGTTTAAAGAAATTACTAATATCTAGTTCTACATATAACCAATGACGAAGGACCCTAGAACTAAAAAGACCATTAGAAAAATCTTCATCGCCATTGAATTTCTTCTTCAACGGCACTAAAGATTGATGATGGACTAAAAATTTTCAGAAACGGCCTCAATCTCCCCTCAAAACTTCTTAAACAAAGTCAAGCAAAACTGATCCAAAAAATCGTCATTATCTCTTACCACACATGCATCCTATTCCCTGAGAAGGAAACAGGACCTAGAGAGAAGCATAAAGGGAAAGTGGAATTTATGGCCATAGTTATAGCTTAAGACAAAAAACAAGTGGCCTTCATCTGAAAATTAAGTTTAGCATACACAATAAAGTAAAACAGCAGCATCACCAAATGTAGACCCACCAAGATGGAATTAAAAAAAAGTGTGCATTGCTTACAGTGGATAGCCTGGTACAAGTGACATAATCAAACAATGTCGATTGCAATCGACAGCATTTGGAACAGGGAATCCATGTTCTTCTAGTGCCTGCTTACACGAACACTAAATATCAAAACAAATCTCCAAATTCAAGGAGAATTAGTGTTGTCAAAGGAGAAAAGCGTTAAAAAATGCTCCAAGTCTATCAAAGCTTTGCGCAAAGTGCAACTAAAGTGTGAGCTTAGTTAAAAAAAAGTGCAACTAAGAATTTATGGCAATGAGACACACGCCTTAGAACCTTGCCTACACTGAAGAGCAGCCTAAGAGGGGGGAAGTGCCTACGCTGAGCTTCTTTGAGCTTCAGATATTAAGCACGCCTCAAATGAGCCTTTGACAACACTGAAGACAATAAGGCAAATTAGAGAAGTGCAATCACCTTCATAAATGCAAACTCTTTCAAGGCAGCAAGCCGCGATAAGTAGAGCCAATTATAGCTGCTACGATGCCTCAAATAGTCACGTTTTGCTTTGACTGCCCTAAATGAAACCCTACCGAGCCTGTGTAACTTCATCGCAAGAACTGTGCCATCTTCCTTTACGACCTCAAAAATATCTATTGGAAAAATGGATAGTTAAGAACATGATAGTGTAAATTACAAAGTAACAAGAAGAAAAAAAAAAGTAAAACACAAGAATATACAGACAAAAGATTGTTACCAGACTCTTTCCCAGTGCCAAGTTGACGACCCACTCCATTAAATACACCACGATTAACCATAGTTTTGATTGCAAGAAAATCGTAACCAAGGTAGGTGAGTCGAAATCCATCATCTATACAGCAACGTTAAGAAACAAAATTCAGAATAAATGGCAGCTCACAAAAAAGGGACAAACAAATAGTAAAAAACAAAGCAATAAAAAGCACTCACATTTAGAAGCATCATGATGGACTAATTTGTGCTTTAGCAAATTCTTCAACACTTTATATGAGCCCCCATGCCTATATAATTAAAAGAAGAAAAAAAAATTACTAACATATCAACGCAACAGCAGACAATATACTCCAATTAAGGGAAACAAAAAAGGACTAACTTGAGGGAAGCAATACGGTCAATGAGCTCAGAAGGCACAATTTCATGCTGGAAAAAGAAAAAAAAAAGTAAACAAAGAAGGATTATAAACTGAAAAGAAAAAAATTAAGAAAGTAAATAGAGTGAAAAAGTGGAAAGGGTAGAGACATTGCGCATGCCCATCTCAACGGCAGTGAGGACCCGGAAATCATCTTTGGAGAGGTATCTCAAAACGTTGACATCCAACTTCATCTTCTTTGCCTCTTCTGTTGCTTGCTATTAATAATAATAATAGAATCTTAATACAAAAACCACCTACTGTGTATGCTGGAAAAGTGGAGGATTTTTATCAGCGGTAACCCTAAACTATTTGTTTGGACAAAAATATAATTTTGGGAAGGAGGGGAAACTTTACCAAGTTGAGTTTAGCTTTGACCTGCGATTCGGAAAAATCTGGTTTGGGCCGAGTCTAACGTATAACGGGAAAAGTACACAGTTAGTCACTAATTAGAAATATTTTTATTTTTTAGCCACTTTTTAAAATCTATTTACTCTTTTACGGGTGCTTAATAAATTTTCTTGCCCACCCAAAAATACCCATGTACTAATATTAGGGGTGTCAAAATCAGTCCAACATTAAGACTAGGGGTGTCAATGGATATTAAAAAACGACTAAACCGACCGAACCGTACCGCACCAAACCGATTTTTAGGTTTCTTTTAAAGAAATAGTAGATTTTTATATAAATCTATAACCGTACCGATAATTAGGTTAGGTTTTTTATTTTATAAAAATACCGAACCGTACCGAATAAATTTTACATGTGAAAAATATATTCATATAGTAAGTTTAAAACTAATAAAGTATTACATTTTTCATTGGGTCTTGGAATTATAAAAACTGTTACAAGCCAATAAGTAATTAAACTCAAAATACCAATTCCTAAAACTTATTCTGCTACTTATACTTAAACTAAGCTATTTCAAGTATCTTTATTAGCAAGACACAAAGTATTCTAATGATTATGAGTAGCAAACTACAATGTTTGAATATGTTTCCTTTTATATAATTTAGATTTATGTTTTTAGATATTTAATATAGACTTTATTCTTGAGTCTCAACTTGGTTAATATCTTTCCACTCGTGTGATTTATATTTTCTTTGCTTTTACTTGGTTTCTTTTACGTTGGTGTCGAATAGTTGTGTATCTATGCTCTAGCCATCTTTCATGTTTTTTAATTCATTATCCTTTAAACAGTAAAAATGTCTAGAGAGTTCGCTAAGTCCTATAAAAGAACGTATGTTACTGCATTCTATTTTTACTGGTGAATTTTATATGACATTTAAAAAATACCAAAAATTAATCGAACCGTACCGATACCGAAGTGAAACCGACATGATTGAGACGGTTTCGAAAAGTCTAGTTTTGGTTATACATAATAAAATAACCGAAAAATTGGTATGATACAAATTTTATAAAATAATCTGCCGAACAGAACCATTGACACCCCTAATTAAGACTTGGGTTGGTTGGGTCCATTCACGTTAAACCCCTTAATTTTTAAACAGTGATAATTTTTTATTTTTTACTTTTGATTTTTGATATATAATAATGCATTGAAATTGATATGATTTAGCATATTAAGACTCATTATGGTCATGATTTTCATACTTTCAATATTATTTATAGGAGGTAAATGTGACTTAAATAGGAAATACATACTAAAAAAGTGCAAGGGGTGATCTTATATTATTAATTGTAGTGTAATATCTTTGAAAAAGAGCAATTTTATAAAACTAAAAAATAAACAATAACCATGTTTGATAAAAGAATAAGCACGTAAAATGTTAGTACAAACTGATGTGAATTTTAGATACATGGAACTAAAATTTAATTAATCTATAGGGCACGTTCAGTCTTGATCAACAACAAAAAAAATGATTATTTTTCTTTAAACTACAAAATGGGAACAATACTAGACATACAAAATTCAAACTGTTTTACATCAAGATCAAGTCCGATTTGGCTGATGGCATTCTATACGATTGGCGTGAATATTTATTATTGGGTTGAGTTGGGCGGATTAAGCTATGATCTTTTGTTTAGCCCATCTTAACCCAGCCCATCTTAGTCCAAGTAAATTTTGGGTTGGGTTAGGCAATAACTCATTTATTGATGCAATCCATTTTGACCCACTCAAATTAAGTTCAACCCGCTCATTTACCATCCCTAGCTAATATTAAGGACATGGTATCCTTAATTTCATGAGTGTTGTGTAAAAATTAAGGACAAAGTGTCATGTATTTGCACCTTTTGTTGTTAAACTTTAGGACATCATGTCATTAACTTCATATGTCTAGTATAAATGTTAAGGACATGGTGTCTTTAAATTCATGTGTGCATTGTAAATGTTAAGGACATAATGTCCCTAATTTGTATTTGCACCTTCTATTGTTAAACTTTAGGACATGGTGTCCTTAACTTCATAAATGCTGTATAAATATTAAGGACAAAGTGTCATGTATTTGCACCTTCTGTTGTTAAACTTTAGGACTTCATGTCCTTAACTTCATATGTACTGTATAAATGTTAAGGACATGGTGTCCTTAAATTCATGTGTGTATTGTAAATGTTAAGGACATAATGTCTCTAACTTGTATTTGCATCTTTTGTTGTTAAACTTTAGGACATGGTTCCTTAACTTCATAAATGTTGTGTAAATATTAAGGACAAAATGTCCTTAATATTTACATAGTACTTATGAAGTTAAGGATACCATGTCTTTAATATTAACGCAACACTCATGAAGATAGGGTAAAAATATTTTTTCGCATTAATTTTAATAAAGTGGTGGCTATTTTTGTTTAGAATTAAAAATACTAAATAAAAACTAAATACCACCTTAAAAAATATCTATCCCACGTCATTTCTACTGTGATGTATAACACTGCCCTAATTACGAAAGTTTAAATCCTATGGGCTTAAGAACCACCACAATACATGGAAATAATAGTTAACATGCCGTTTAAAATATATTAAGAGTTCACAATATATTTAAAGATTAGTCAATTAGCTCAAATTTCAATACATGTTATTTAGAAGTTTAAACCTTAAGATTCCAACTTCAGAACATCTTGTCCTAAATTTCGAAATAATTATTCAGAAATTCAAATCTTGTATCCTGAATTTTAAATTAGTAATTCAAAAATTCAGGACATTTAGTCCTAAATTTCAAATAACTTGCTCAAAAATTTTGGACACCAAATGCTGAATTCTATATTAGCAACTCAAAAATTCAGGATACTTAGTCCTGAAATTTCAATGAATTGGCCACTTTGTTGAATAACAAGACGAATTATGCATATTAAACTTTAAAATTATTAAAATTTTACCTTCTATAAATATTAAACTTAAATTATAAAAAAATATATCAAATTTTCATGCCATATGAATTATCTCTAATTGAGGTTTTAGCTTAAAAGAGATCTTTTCACTATGGTAACTTACAACTTGTTTGGATGGTTTTACATATCGTTTCATAATGTATCGTATCGTATTGTATTGTACTGTATCGTTTGATGAATACAATGTTTGGATGGATTGTGTCGTTTTGCAGTCGTTTTATGATATCATGCACCAGTAATATGATGAATAAACTTGCAATATTATAAAGAAAAATTATGATATGGTATATAAAAAGGTATGGTAAACGATAAAATAAAATTATTTAATAATAATGAAGGGTGAGATTGAGAGAAAAACACAAGAAAACGACGCGACCACACCAAATCGGTCGTTACATAAAGTGACACATTTCATCGTTACGTAACGACGGATTTAACGATACGATACAATAAAATTTAAGTAACAATCAAAACAAACATTGTATTTAAAGTAACAATACGATACGATACAACTGGTAACAACCATCCAAACAAGCATAGGTAAACGACAATATTAAATTAAAAATAATAATAAAATAGATTTAAAAAAGCGGGAACATTTTGCTTTATTCTTGATCCCAATTCGACAATTCCCCTTTTAAATGCTATGAGAACATATAAGATTGAACATGCTATTCGTTTTAATCTTTGATCACTATTTTGCTTAGATAAAAATTGATACAGATTTAAAATATATTCAGAACAAATAATTACAAAATATTTAATAATATTAATAATATAANAAATTCTTTCCATTTGAAACAGGATTTGTTGTGGATAAAAGCATAATTATTAAATTATCAAAAATTTATTTGAGCTAATATTAAGAATTTGAATCCTCAAAAAAATTAATTATTTTCTATAATGACGAGAACAAATGATTAAGTGGTTGAATTAACTAATTAAAAAAATTATTTGAATGAAGTAATTACCAAAATAATCTAATTTCATTATTTTTCCAAATTCATCACATAAGTAAAATTATTTTTTAAATTGATAAAAATATTAAAGAACATAATTTATTTTCATGAAATATTATCATCGATGAAAGAAAACAAAAGAATCGAGCAAAATCGATTATAATATAATATAATATTAAAAATAAATTATTAAAATATAAACTTGAACATAAGGATCAAATAATTATAAAATATATTCATAATGAAATGTCAGGTGAGATATAACTTAACATATTAACATCTAGTAATATAAACTATACGAGTAATCACAAATATTGTACATAATTTAACTAATTCATCATCTTACATATTAAGAAGATATTGATTTCAGTTACTGTGTCAATGTAATAACATTAATTTTCATTATTTAAACTAAGATTACATTTATTTATAGTCAATGTATATATTTTTAATTGGTTGAAGTTAAATATACGTACAACGCACAACGCACGTACACTTATAATTAATATAAACTCAGCATATGATGTAAAAGGGTAGAATAGTCTTCTCTAGCTTATTATAAAGGAGAAGTGGCCATTATTCCAATACATTCCAAACAATGGCTAAAAACTCAGCAGCCCTAAAAAATGGTCACTCCACCCAGTAAAAATACCACGGTATAATCAGTTTTCGGACTGGTCATTCAAAAATAACCAGCGTTTACGAAGTCAATGAAAAATAGCCACTATTTTGCTGCAACAGAGACCGGTTCAATATAATATACTGGAGTTCGGTGCACCTGTGTATGGACTCCAACATATTATGCGGGATCGGTATACTTTGCTGATTCCAGTATAATATACTGGAGACTGGAGCACCGGTGCTCCAAACTCCAGTATATTATACAGGATAATTATACTTGCTGAAACTCCAGTATATTATGTTGGAGTTATAGTGTACTTATGCTGGAACTCCATCATATTATGCTCGAGTTCCAGCATACTATCCTGGAACTCTAGTATAATATGCTGGAGTTCAAGCATACTTATGCTGGAACTCCATCATATTATGCTCGAGTTCCA